ATACTAATTTGTAGTTAATGGAAATATTAGTGATGTAAGCGCACATGATTTTTAAATAAATAAGAGGTTCGATCTGGCGATCGAATCTCAACTTCTACTATTTGTTCTTAAAGTAAAAACTACAAAAGCCTAACCGGTAACGCAGTGTGCCTTGTGATCGAAGGTTGGAGTCGTTGCAAAGTAAAGGGGCAAGGTGGTAGTACTGAAGCGAACGTAGTGAAGCCGCGAGTGTATAATCAAACGAACCAAGCCATTTGGGCCGGAATTTAAAGAAATAAATATTTTAACTAATCCCCACGACAGCTAATTTGAATTTTTAAGAGAAAAAGCTTGACATCTCATGTAAGCTTCCCATCACTATTCAATATTCAAATTCGTGTAACTCATGCTAATCAAAAAGAGGTCAATTCTTGTTCAAGAAATATTTATATGCGTAGCCTTAATGATATATCGAAATTTCAAAGTTAGCATTAAAAATGAAACTTCTACTACGCTACTTTTAGCAGCCATTAAAGATAATAATTTTTGCAATATTATGTAACACTGTATTACAAATCGAGTTCTAAGATTCATTTATTACCTAATATATATTTTCACCATAATTCTCTTATGATCTTAACTTTATTTGGTATGAGCTTGCAAGGGACCTTTATCATTGTGTCCTTCAGTCAGATCATCATATGCATATCTCTCTAATGTCGGAAATTATGAAATTAACCATATGACCACGTGTGTCAGGGACGACTTTATAACTGTAATGTAAATTATAGATATCCCGTTTTTTATTTCGATATTGCTGGAAAGGGGTTTTTTTTTAGCCAATCAAATTTAATGTTCAGACACGTTTTTTAGTCAATAAAAATTTAATGTTTGGATTATAGCTGCAGACATTTAGAATGCCAAAGGTAGTTACCTTTTCACGTCACCTTTACGTCATATAAAATTTAGACATAACGTCAATACGTCACTATCTACGTCATGCTATTCTAATGTCTGCAACTTTAGTTTGGATGAATATATTCTTTAGTAAATCAATTTGCGTGTCAAGAATCTTTAGATATTTTTCTAAACAGACCAATTAAATACAATCACACCATGTGTTATTATACATGAATCACATCATGTGTCATCTCAAACCAATTTTATACATGAATCACATCATGTGTCATCTCAAACCAATTTAACGTGAATCACGCCATGTATTATTTCAAAGTTTCGATTTATTCTATTTTTATACTAATAAAGTGTTCATCGTCCCTATTACCAATAAAACAAAAAGTTGTTAAATCAATAAAAATAAAAAATAGTTGTCAATGGTTAACCCAAAAAAAAAAGATACTAACATAATTTATAAAACTCTTTGAAAATCTTTCCCGTATTTTTAAAATCTGGGTTACCTTCTAATAATTCAATCCAACCACCATATTTAAGAACTCTAACAATTTCTTTAATTAACTGAGGCCATTGAGAAAGTGTTAATGCGCCCCACATACCACACATAAAAACGAAATCAAATGTATTTGAAGGAAATGGTATTCCGAGAATTACATTACATTCAATAAATCCAACATTCGAAGGACGTTGATTATCAGATGGAAGTACATCTGGATTGATATCAACACCCACAAACGTTGAAGAAGGATAATCTATTGCCATTTCGACTGTCCAGTAACCTGAGCCACAACTATAAATATATATAGCACGTAAAAGACAAGTTTAATTTTTAAGATAAAAATTTTAAAGATAATTATCAGTATTGAACATACATATATATATATTTATTTATATATACCCAATTTCAAGAACTTTAGCACCATTCAGTAATTTATCTTCGATTGGAGAAGAATAATTTCCACCCCATAAATATCTTCTCGTCAAATGTCCTAGAGCTTCACCTTCTAAAGCTTCTTTATCAGATGGTAACATATAATTTGCTTCAGGATCATTTAAGAATAATCTTCCATGATTAATTGTAAATTTTTCCAATGGTGGAGGATTTATTTCATCCGAATTATCAGAATCTAAAGAATGTATTTCCTTTTTTTTTTTTGGACTTTTAAATACGAACTTTGTAAACTTTTCCATCTTTGAGAATTAATTATTTACTATTATAAAACTTATTTGATTTAGCGAATTGCTTTTAATAAAATTGTACGGTAAATTTATACAAATAACGTTAATGAGTAATGACTGTTTAAACTATTAAGATAAATCAATTTTTCATTCATGTTGAAGTGTATATATATATATATATATACAAGACACTTGGATCTGAGGATCTACATAAGTAAGTATTTTCGGAATACCACCTATGAACTACAAGTAAAATCTTGCGTACAGAGTACGTCGTACGTATAACATTTTGTTGTTTCGGATATATAAAATGAAATCTTAATATAAACTTCACGGGAATATCAATTGATTCTATTAAAGGAAATAATTGCCTTCTCGTGCTTAAATTTTGGTTACTTTTGTCCTATTTAAATCGATGCAAATCGGATAAATCCGAAATTCAACCTGATGCCTGGTTCTTTTACTTTATTACTTAATACGTATACTATATCTACCGTTATCTGTGCTTATACGTACTACATAGTTCCAAAAGTAAAATTCTTGAAGTTCATAAGCCTTTATTAGCATTGACTGAATTAGTGTATAATTAGTATGGTTTGAACGTATTAGTACGACATTAAGACATTAATGAACGTCAAAAATAACTAGTGATAAATTTGTTTATTTTGGTAG